TGGGCAGCCGCTGGCTCTTCTCGGCACTGGGAGGCGGATTTCTGAGGACTGGGCGCTGAGTGGTTCAGCCTACAACGCCTGTGCAGCCTTTGGATTTCCCTCTGTCGCGCACTGTTTCTGGCTACGGCCGCGCAGCCGTTCGGCTTGTGCAGGTCGGCAAGGAGTCTGGCGCCGCCCTGGCGACTCACTTCGATGCATCCGCACATTCATCTCGGCGGCCTGCCCACTTCGGTTCGGGCTGCGGTGCCTATGTGCGGTTGCCCGGTGAATTTAGTTCATTTTGTTCTTTGCACGTGCAACTGCGAGTTTGTGTTGCAGGTGCGAGCTTTGTCCGCCGGCTCTGACGGCAATTGTCTTGCAAATTCGCCGCGTACCGGGTCCCGGACGCCGCTTCCGCTCCCTGTCCGTTGCCTCGGAGCCGCTGACCCAAAAAATATTTCCATTTGTTTGCGTTTTCGGCCTGTCCTTCAGCGTCCTTCTCGCCCCCTGAGCCGCAGCGTAGTTCGCTCCTGCGCGCTTAGTGCCTAATTTAGAACTTGGCGCGGCTGCCTCGTTTCTGGACGGCGCGCGGTTGGACCGCGACGTTCGCGAACAACAACATATTCCCGCTTGCCCTAAAGCAAATGGGAATACAAATGGGAACGCGTTCGACCCGTTTCGTGCGCCCGCGTGCCCAAACATATTCCCACTTGCCCAGCTAAAAAAACCCTACCCATCAGAGTTGACGGGGTAAGAGGCGAAAAGACACACGTGGTGAAACAAAAGAGACAACCATGGTGAATAGAGAGATCTCTGGGAGCAAGGGGGTGGCTTTGGAGGGCCTCTTCGGGTCATCCCCTGGGCCCGCGAGGGGGCGAAGGAAAGATGATGATGATGATGATGATGATGATGATGATGATGTTGATGATGATGATGATGATGATGATGATGATGATGATGATGATGATGATGATGATGATGATGATGATGATGATGATGATGATGATGATGATGATGATGATGATGATGATGATGATGATGATCATGATGATCATGATGATCATGATGATGAGGAGGTGGGGAAGGAGGAGGAGGAAGAGGAGGAGGAGGAGGAGGAGCAGGAGGAGGACGACGATGACGACCACGACGACGAGAGAGATGAGGAAGAGGAAAAGGCAGACGATGAGGGCAAGGGGGAGGACGAGGAGGAGGAGGAGGAGGAGTAGGAGGAGGAGGAGGAGGAGGAGGAGAAGGAGGAGGAAGAGGAGAAGGAAAAGGAGGATAACGACGAGGGCGAGGACAGAGCCCTAAACATCGCCTCTTGCAGCCCTCTTGGGGCTCTTTGGGGATATTGGAATCTTTTCGGGGCTCTTTTGGATGGTCTTGGGGTCCTCTTGTTTGGAGGCCATCGATCAAAGGGGCGATCCCAAATCGACCTCCCCCCCCTGGGACCAGCAACATCGCCTCTTGGGGTCCTCTTGGGGCGCTCTCAGACTGCTGTCGGGCGCTCTTGGAGCCGTCTGGGGGGCCTCTTGGGCCCCTCTTGGGCATCTTTTGGGCCATCTTGGGGCCATCTGGAGGCCTTGAAAGCGCATCGGAAGCGAAAAGGCGAGCAGTCAAGCATCAGTGATTTTCCATAGGTTTTTGATGGATTTCGGCTTCTTCGGGAGTCCTGAGGGGGCTCCGAGAGCACTCGGGGACGTCTTGTGGCCCTCGTCAGGCCTCTTGGAAGAATGCCGGAAGCTATCTTGATCCACCGTCTGCTATCTTGAGCCGCCTTGGAGGCCATCTTGAGACATCTGCCGTCCTCTTGGAGCCATCTTGGGCCGCCTTGGGCGCCCTGACCCATCGCGACCCCGCCAACAACCTCAGGGAGGGGGCGGGAGGTAAACCTCCTTGAAGGTAAGAGGTTGTAGGCAGAGGAGCGACAGAACTCGCTAGACCACCTTAGCCCACAGGGCTTGTGGGATTTTGGGGCAGTCTGGAGCGAAACGACCAACACAAGAAACACGGCTTCACAATTAATCGTCCGAGCTCTCATACATGTATATATATATATATATATATATATATATATATACATATATAGATATATACATGCATGCCTACACACATACATGCATGTACATATGCATCTAAAAGGATGTATGCGCATATGTATATATATATACACCTTTTACTTGCACATACATCTAATCATCGATATAGTTATATATAAACACATATCCGTATGTACATCTATATATATGCACATATGTTCGCATCTAGGGCTCCCAGACGGCTCCAAGTCCCCGAGACTCCCGGATAGATCCAGAGTCCCCGGACGGCTCCAAGTCCCGGACGGCTCCCGTACGCACCTGGATAGATCCGAGGGCTCCCGGACGGCTCCAAGTCCCCTTCCAAATGAGCCTCGACACGCCGACAGAAGGAGGCAACGAGGGCCCCAAGACGGCCCGACGACGCCTACAATCGCCTCGAGACGGTCCACTACGCGTCCAAGGCCGCCCAGGAGGCTTCCAAATGCCCTTCATGAGGAAATCCCAGTCTGCAGAACTTCATAGGTGTTCCATTTAGTCGTTCACGGATTTTCCCGTTGACGCCTGTCCCGCTTCCGGGTGTTCCGAGACTGCATTGCCCCAGAAGCTTCTGGAATCGCGCGAAGTTGGCCCCCGAGGGGTCCCAAGGGGCCCCTCACGCAGCCCAAGAGGGCGCCAGACGCGGCTCAAGAGGAACCCACGATGGCCCGAGAGGCCCCCAAGCGGGTCCAAGAGGGGGCCCCGAGGGTCCTGCTCCTGCTCCTGCTCCTGCTCCTGCTCCTGCTGCTGCTCCTCCTCCTACTCCTCCTTCTCCTCCTCCCCCTCCCCCCTGCTCCTCCTCCTCCTCCTCCTCGTCCTCCTCCTCCTCTTTCTACTCCTACTACTCCTACTCCTACTCCTACTCCTACTCCTACTCCTACTCCTACTCCTACTCCTACTCCTACTCCTACTCCTACTCCTACTACTCTACTACTACTACTACTCTACTACTACTCTACTACTACTACTACTACTACTCCTACTCCTACTCCTACTCCCTCCTCCCTCCTGCTGCTACTGCTGCTCCTCCTCCTCCTGCTCCTCCTGCTCCTCCTCCTCCTCCTCCTGCTCCTCTTGCTCCTCCCTCCTTCTCCTCCTCCTCCTCCTCCTGCTCCTTGCCTCTCCTGCCTCCCTGCTTCCCTCCCTCCCTTCCTCCCTCCCCTCTTCTCCCTCTCTCCTTCAATTTCCCCCTCCCCCCTGGGCTCCGCCCATCTCGGGAACATCGTCGGCAAATCTCCGGTACCTCCCTCCCGGATCTCCAAGGGAGGGAGCCCCAAGACGGCCCAGGACGTTTCCGAGACAGCCCAAGGGCGTTCCGAGATTGCCAACGACGGTTTCCCGACTGTGTTGAATGTCCTCCTGGACTCCTGGAGCGCCCAAGAGAGCCCCAAGAGGCTGCCAAGAGACTCCCACTACTACCCAAGAGAGCTCCAAGGAAACCCTCGAGAGGCCAAAACCTTGTCAAGCAACGAACAGAAGATCTATGAGTTGTGGCTTCCCGCTTTTTCGCCTCCGACGCCTTTGCGAGGCTTCGTGTGATCCCCGAGAGGCCCCCGAGGGGCACCCCGAGAGGCCCCAGAGAGGCTCCACGAGGCCTTCAAGGAGCCCGAACGAGGCACCCGCGAGGTCCCAAAGAGTCCTCCGAGAGACCCCTTGAAAGGCCGACGAGGCCCCGCGAGGCTCCAAGTAGGTTTCCCATCCAAGAAGTCAGACGAGGAGCGGAACGGGAGGAGGGGGCTGGAGACGCAGAAAGGCTGAGAATGAGGAGAGGGCAGCCGAACGCGGAAGGGAGTTTCGCGTGAGGCGCGGAAGGAGAAGGAGTCTTCTCTCTTCCTCCCGCCTTCCTCCTCTGTCCTTCCCTCCTCCTCCTTGTCCGCTCCGTCTTTGAATCCTGCCTCTCCCTTCCCTCTTCCTCTTCCTGATTCCTTCTCTCTTCCTCTTCCTCCTTCCCTCTTCCTGATTCCTTCTCTCTTCCTCTTCCTCTTGTCCCCTCCTTCCCTCTTCCTGATTCCTTCTTTGAATCCCGCCTCTCCCTTCCCCTCCTTCTCCTTCTCCCCTCTTCCTCGCCCCGCGTTTCCCGCTTCAGTAAGCTGAAAGGGGTTCCAACTTTTGACCAGAGGGAATCTCCACACATTTTTTCAAGGCGCCACTCCCCTCCACTCACACCGGCGTCTGTGCTGGCGTGCCCCACAATGCGCCTCTGCCTCCCGCATCCCTCGTCCTCCGTTCCCGTTTCCTCCTCGTTTTCTTCTCCTCTTGTTTTTCTTCCCCGTCTCGTCTTCCTGCCCTTTCATCTCGTCCCTGCTGGACTCCTCCGCATTCTGTTTCACCCCGACTCTTTCCGAAGTGTCCCTCTACCCCTCGCCTTCCCGCGACGTCGGGTCTGCAGGAATAGCGGCAACAAAAGATAGTGAAAAGGCCGCTGGACATCATACGCAGAAGAGGGGGTGAGGCACATCGAGGAGTAGAACGCGTGCAGCAGCAGGTCGTCGTCGTCGTCGTCGTCGTCGTCGTCGTCGTCGTCGTCGTCGTCGTCGTCGTCGTCGTCGTGTGGGCAAAGTACACATGCAGTGCGTGTGTTGGCGGTGAGAAGCCACAAAAGGAGGGGGAGAAGCAGTGTTCGGTTCAATTTTCTGGGTTGCGTCTGTGTGTGTGTGTGTGGGTGTGCGTGGGTGTGGGTGTGTGGGTGTGCGGGTGTGTAGGTGTGTGTGTGTGTGTGTGTGTGTGTGTGTGTGTGGGTGGGTGCGTGGGTGCGTGGGTGTGCGTGTGCGTGTGCGTGTGCGTGTGCGTGTGCGTGTGCGTGTGCGTGTGCGCGTGCGTATGCGCGCGCGCGTGTGTGTGTGTGTGTGTGTGTGTGTGTGTGGGCACAGGGGGCTCTTGGGACCATGGGCGAGGACTTTTGGGAGGTGGAGAGGCGTGGGTGATGAGCCATCCCGTGCCCGCCAGGCAACGGCACCAGCGGCCGCTTCCTGCGGGCGGATGTGGACTTGGTGAGCGACCGGTTCCAGCTGGTGGAGGCAGAGGATGGCCTCTCCCCCTGTGCCTCTGTGGGGGTGGGGGGGGAGGCGACGGGCAGAGGCACATTGCTATGGAGTCCAAGGAGTCCAGGGAGGGACACCAGAGGGCCCAGGGAATCCTTTGCGGTCTTAGGGGGGCCAGGGAGGCAGGGAGTGAGGTGAGTCCATGATGTCCCGGATTTCCAGGGAGTCGATGGAGTCTTGTTTTTTTGGTCAGAGTTGAGGGTCCTGGGGCTCCAGAGGATCCAGCGAATCAGCAAGGCCAGCGAGCCCATGAAATCTGGGGTGTCCGGGGGGTCCATCTAGGGAGTCTGGTGAGTCCAGGGAAGGCCCCAATGGGTCCCACTCGGACTTCCTCTGGCCTCCCCGGCCCGAGTTGCTGGACTATTTGGCCGCCGTCGCCGAAGTCGCCCCGGAAAGCGAAGCAGAACGCGAGCAGAGCGGGTACTCGATAGGAGAGTGCGGAGTCCCACGAATGTGATTACAGGCCGATCGAGATCGACACCATGGATCCTTTCGTTGACCTCCCTGCGTATGATCAGGAACCGTGGCTTACCGTGCCGCGCCACCGGTTCTGGCCCACCGCGCCTCGGCGTGACACGCTACCCACGTCCCAGTCCCCCTTCGCCAACGTCCCGAGCCCTTTCCAGCCACCCGCCCCGCGGTTGGAGCCACACGCCATCCACTTGCAGGGCATAGCGTGTCGCGGGGGCCACCGCCGCGACGGGCCGTGCAAAAGTTCCTGACCGCACTCCCTCATGGACGGCACTTCAAAGTTGGCCACAGAGGCCTCCCTTCCCCGTCGTTTGTTGCAGGACCGCCCCGGCCACTTCGCGCTCCAGCAGCTGGACGGCCGAGGCGTGCTGAAGAGCCAGCTGACCACGTGCCCCCCCTTCCAGGCCTGGGCCCACAGCGGCAGCCGCGGCCGTTTACTCACTGTACGGAGGAGGAGGAGGAGGAGGACGAGGTAGGAGGAGGTGGAAGTGGGAGGAGGAGGAGTAGCAGTAGGAGGAGGAGGAGAAGGAGGAGGAGGAGAGTATACGTGTCAAGCATTCGGTGAAACATCTCATGCGTTTGTATGCTGGCCACGATCGCAAGTGTCAGGCGCGCCACACCGCTATTTCGGCAAAGCTCCGGCTGCTTGAGCACCGGAGCCGGCGACCCAACCAGTGCGGGGAATGGGCACGAACCAATCGTGCACCATTGTGTGAAGAGGAAGTCGCTGCGTTGGACAAACTTAACGCGCTGGCGCGCCACTCTGCGCACAAGGCCGTGTCCAAACACTCCACAAGCAAGGGGGTTGCCGTCAAGGTTGACAGGAGACGTGTCGGCCGAGTGTTCCCGTAACTTGGGAGCCGCGAGCTGCTTGTGATTGTTTTTCTTCCCATGCGTGTTATTGTTTTTCTCAGCGCCCGCCAAACCGCCCCAACCCAGCCCGAATGCCCCGACTTGCCCTCCATTTCTAGTGTGGGGGGTCAGGGGACATCGAAAAATACGTGAAACCCGTACCCCCCCAAAAACTCGAAATTCGGGTCTTCGGGTTGGGTTGGGGTGGTCTGGTAGGTAGTCATTTTCATCCTTCAGCGACGCATCGAACCCCGCGCAGGCGACAAGAGGTCCGAGGCTCCACAGATGGTCCCAGCTTCCTCCCTCCTCCACCTCCTCTTCCTCCTCCTTCCTCTTCCTCCTCTTCCTTCTCCTCTTCCTCCTCCTCCTCCTCCTCCTCCTCCTCCTCCGCCCTCCTCCTCCTCCTCCTCCTCCTCCTCCTCCTCCTCCTCCTCCTCTCGAACATCGACTGGGGCGAGTGCAAGAGCGTCCTCGCCCGCTGCCCGTGCTCATGGGCTATGGCCGTCCTGCGCACTTGGTCTGATGGTTGGATGACTTCGGCCCGTATCATCTCACCCGACGGCCAGAAGCACTGCGTATTTGGTTGTCTGGGCAAGCTCGACTCGTTGAGGCACTACGCGAGGTGTCCTGTCATGCACCGCGCCCTTCGGCAGGCTCTCGCGAGACCGATTCCGCTCCCGTGGATGGCCAGATGGGGCTTATCTGAACCATCGCTGGCCACCTTCTCGGCGCTGGCTGCCGCGTACAGCATGTACAACGAAGCGAGGCTGGCGCCCGTGTGGCCGCTGTCCCCGTCCCTCCTCCGTAGCTGTGCTCTCGCTGGTGTACGTTCGATGCAGCTCGCGTCGCCGTTGAAGTGCTCGGAGATCGACCGCGAGCAGCTCGGCCGGCGGGACTACCTCATTCGCAGCTCTTCGTCATCTTCATCCTCGGGGTCGTCTCCACGGCTCACGCCTGCCGTTTCGTCATCGGATAGCGACACGGCCACCGTCTCCACAGCCATTGCCACGATCCCGTCGGACCCCGACGTTGCTGATGTTGTTCAGGTCCCCGCGACGGGTTCAGTTACGTGCTGTCCTTCGGCTTCGGCGACTTCCCCCCCGCCTTCCTCTGCGCCCCCGTCGATGGCGCGCTCCCCATCGACTCTGAGGGCGGCCCCATCACCATCAATGCCTTTGAGAGCTCCACTGATGGCGCCCGCCTGCTCATCAATTTCGCCGCCGGCCCCGATTTCGACCTGCTCATGTGTGTCGCCGTCTCCGCCAGTGACGCTGTCGTCTGCGGGTTCTTATGCCTCGTCGCCTCCCATCGGCGTTAGATCGCAAGTCCCGTTGTCGTGTTCGGGCTCACTGTCGCCAAGTGCTGGATGCCTCGTGTCGCCCCAGCTGGGCCCAGGCGTTAGATCGCAAGTCCCGTTGTCGTGTTCGGGCTACACGTCGCCACATGCAGGATGCCTCGAGGGGGACCTCCTCTCCTGTGGCGTTAGAATGCAAGTCCCGTTGTCGTGTTCGGGCTCGCCGTCGCCACAAGAATGTTGCCGTGATTCTGGACACTGGTCCGTCGGCGTTAGATCGCAAGTCCCGTTGTCGTGTTCGGGCTCGCAGTCGCCACGTGTCGGACGAAATCCTGGGAATCTGGAGGCTCCTCGCCGCTCGACGCAACCATCGACCCCGTCATCAGAGCGCTCCGCGACGCCGATGACCACGAGCCCTCCGATGTCGCGCTCCCCTTCGGTGTCGCCGACGGCTGGGATGTCTCCCCCGTCTACGCCCTCTGAGAGTGCGGCCGAAAATGAGCCGCCTGTATCTACTCTCCCCCGCACGTCCGTCGCCCCGCACGCCCCGCTCTGCCCTCCCACGCCCTGCGCCACGCTTGCCATCCCGCCCGATCCGCCTCCCTCGTCCCTTGAGCCCTCTTTGCTGCTGCCCTCTGCCGTCTCCCCTTGCTCCCCTCCCTCGATGATCGCCATGCCGCCTTCTGTATCCCCGTTCCCCGCCTCGTCCGTCGCTCCGTTGAGCTCTGCTTTTGCTGCTGCGTGCTCCTCCCCTGCTTCTCCCCCCGCGGCGCTGCGTCGCCTCCTGGAGCCTTCATTGTTTCCCTCCCTCACCGCGTCCTTCGCCCCTCCGAATATAAATACGGCTGCGCCCGACGTCGAGTTCGACGTGCTGCGCTGCTCAGGCGCGCCCCGCGCGCCCCCGCCCCTGCCGCCCGCGGCAAATTCGTCGGCTTCGTGGGCGTAGGCGGGAGACTCCTTCCCTCTGTACGCTGGGCTCCTCCTCCTCCTCCTCATCCTCCTCCTCCTCCTCCTCCGTCTCCTCCTCCTCCGGAGCGGGAGGAGGGCGTGGGGGGAGGGCGAGGGCTGCCCGCGAGGCAAGCGGCGGCCTGCGGCGGCGCCGCCGTCGAGAGACGGGCCCTTCCCGTGCCCCCGCCCAGTCCCTGAGGCGCCATGGTGGCGGCCGAGCGCGCCGTCCTCCTCCTCCTCCTCCTCCACCTCCTCCTCTTCCTCTTCCTCCTCCTCCTCCTCCTCCTCCTCCTCCTCCTCCTCCTCCCCCTTCCGTAGCCATTTTGGCTCAAGGTCCAATGTTCCCCAGGGACCAAGTGGATACCGCTAGTCCGCGGCCGGCAAGACCCTTGTGGTCTGGCAGTGATTTGTATCGATCCGCGCTTGTGCGGTCGGGTAAACGGAGGCGTTTCCCGTTCCTGGCCGTCCGATCGCTCAGCTCCACCTCTCATGGGATTACCGACGGAGGCAGACAAGCAGCGTCTGGCAGATGAGTTGGAGGCGGCCCCCACGTTCCCGACGCAAGAACGCGTGGCTGGCACTGGCAAAGGGGGCAAAGGTGGTGCGACGAGTGCTGCTTCTCCTCGCCTGGCTGGTCCTCCTCCCAACAAGCGGCGCTCGCCTGCAACTGGCGATGTCATCATCGGTGATGGAGATGAATGGGATGGAGATGACTATATGCGAGAGTTATGCAAAGCCGAGCTCTTGCCACTCATTGAGGAGTGGAAAGCCAATGTCAAAGAAGAATTGGGCAAGTCAGTCAAAGAATCCGTCGCCGCTGGTAACCAGACTGTACTCGAGCTCCTCGAAGCGGTTCGTCAGCAAGTTCAGGACAACCGAGCCACTTTGGATGAGAAGATTATGTCAGTCGTCAGGCCGCAAGTGGATGATGTATCACGTCGACTTCAAGCACAGCTGGATGAACAACGGGCGCTCATTGGTGATCAGGGGCGCCGCATCAATGATCACGACACAGCTATTGGGGCTCTCAACCGACGACTGGATGATATGCAGCGAGCCCTGGCACTGGCAAATGAACGTCCACAGCCACCCCCTCGTGTTCCTGCGGGCTTCGACCGCGACCCTGACGGCGCGATCATTGTGGCAATGGCGCAGAAACACACTACTGTCGCTCATGTGCGTGAATCCCTCTCGCCTTTCATCGGTGGTCTGGGCTACGAGGCATCTGAGTATGAGATCAAAGCAGCTGGGGCCGAACCATCCAAGCGCTTCGTGGTTGCCTTCAAGGGTGCAGTGGCCCCTGCGACACGCAAAGCAAACACAGTGCTGCAGAATCTCAAAGTGGACAAACAATGGCGGGAGTTCTCGGTCGGAGTCACAGGTTCGACGGACTGCAGGCTATATTTGGGGCCTGACAAGAGTCCGAAGCAAGTTAAGACAGAGATTCTTCTTCGGCGTTGCAGGTCGGAGATTGCGAATGTATACCCTCAGGCGGAATTGTTCACGGACCGTGAGATAGGATGCTTGTTGTTGGGGTGGGACAAAATACTCAAGGTGGAAGTCGGTGCGGGACAGGAAGAATCTAAGATCCATTGGGAGCCCAACTGTATCACGAAGAACAGCATGGGCATCGAGCGTCTGCGAGAGTGTACTAAATGTCTGGTCGAACCTGCAGCTGAGGAACAGTGGTGTCTTCAATGTATGCCGACTATTTCATCATTGTGCTCCTCGCACTGGGGTACCATCTCGTCCTCTTCGGTTTGCATCATGGAACTGTCGCTCGCTACTTCAAGCGGGTGGGCTGAACTCCAGTCTGAAGAAGCACTACCTTTCTCGTTTGCGTTTGCAGGAGACCGTGGTGGCCCTCCAAGAGGTTCGCCAAGACGAGCTCCAACTTCAATCATATCTACGCGCCATCGACCCCACTGTGCATGTTGAGTCATCTTTTGGGGACTCGCTGATCTGTGGAGGAGTTGCAATTTTGATTCCACCTTTGCTGTCGTCAGCAATCGGGGAGACTCATATCGAGTCGCAGCCTGTGGTGGCAGGCAGGGTTATACGAGTGGCTACTCGTGCACCTGAAGCTGAGCTCATCATTTACAATGTACGCAACCATGAGCTTGATGCGGGTACTGTTCGTGGCGTCGTTCGACGAATTCGATGTGATCTATCTTATGCGGAGGAGTTCCCTGACAAAGTACCTGTGATGGTGCTGGGCGACTTCAACTTCGCAGCGGAGGAGGCGCTCATCTTGGATTCTCCTGTGGCTGCGGTGAAGCAGTCAGAGCGTCGCC